ATCAAACACACACACACACACACACACACACACACACACACACACACACTGCAGTATCAGCACAGACTCTAGGTGGAGCCGTCCACAAACCCCACAATCTTCAAATAATGCGATTGCGTGCAAGCGGCTCGTCAGCGGAGGAAACCAGCTTCATATAAACATTTCATATAAAGACTTTAATTACAGCTGTTCCTGCAGCAATGCTGTTCAGGGCCAAGCGGCTCCTCAGGAATCACCTGGAGCTGTGTGCTTTCCTCTCATCTGTGTGTGTGTGTGTGTGTGTGTGTGTGAGTGAGTGTGTGAGTGTGTGTGAGTGTGTGTCTCTGTGTGTTGAGTTTTGTGTGTGTTTGTTTGTGTGTGTGTGTGAGTGTGTCTGAAAAAGTGTTCGTGTGTGTTATAGTATGTGTGAGTGTGTTATAGTGTGTGTGTTTTATAGTATGTGTGTGTGTGTTATAGTATCTGTTTGTGTGTGTGTGTGTGTTATAGTATGTGTGAGTGTGTTATAGTGTGTGTGTGTGTGTGTGTGTGTGTGTTATAGTGTGTGTGTGTGTCTGCAGGACTCTGGTCGAGGGTTCCGATGCTGAACCGATGCTAAGAATGTTTTCTGGCTCTGCTTCTCCAGTCGTGCCGCACTGCTATTTATTCCCGCACAAAACTCGCTCTTGGACAGCAGCTGTGTAATTTCACCGTCTGATTTACGAATCTCTGGAGCGCAGGGGCCACAAAGTCTGCGAAAGAATTCAGTGATCGCCTCAGAATAAACCGCTTGTACACGTGGATCCCGAGCGACTGACCGAGGTCAGCAGACGAACACCAAATAACGTCCAATAATCAGCAGATGAAAGAAGAGACCGGTTCAGGTTTGCAGCAGTTTAATTGTGATTAACAAATGAACACATCTGTGATCTAATTAAAACCACTCATTTCTTGTCTGGAAACGTTTTCATCAGACAACTCATTTTTGTATCAATTAAGAAATGCAGATTATCATGAAATACAGGCAACGTCGTGATTTTAGCTTTGAATAATTGAGAATATGTGAGCAAAAGCGCAGTTGTGTTAATATCTGAGCAAACTGGCCCATCATCAGAGAGCGAGAGGAGGTTAGTAACAAACCCGTGACACACAGAAGCACTTATATATGTGTGTAAATAGGTGTCTGGGCTTAATCGGTCTGTAAGGCATTATTTAAAGGAAGAGGCTGATTGGTCGTATGCAAACATGGAGGCGGGGCTCAGTAGCGACGCAGATGTGGGTTGGGCTTGAGCTGCTGAGCGCCGAAGTACGTTTGATAGGCCATCGGTGATCCGTAGCGCAGCGCGAACAGACGACACGGCGAATAATCCTCACAGATCTCGGCCCGCCGCTCAGCCAGAGACTTCATCCTGAAACACACACACAAACACAGCGTCTGAGCGTCACAAATGCCGGACGACAACCTTTACAGTTTTCATCTCTACAAACTATGTCTCCAAAACATACACACAACACAAACATAAAATAATTAGCCACACACACGGAAAACTAGACAAGACGTGAAAAATGTAAAACACTACTCTTTTGTGTCTTTTGCTTGTTCAGAGTGCAGTGGAGTATACAGGAGATTGTCATAGCACTCGCACATACATGCATATGCACATATACACTGTATATACAGTATGTATGTACAACTGATTATTTTTACAGTTATGCAACTGAACCGAATCAATACTGAACTGACTTGAGCTGCATAATGACACTATTGACTTGTTAGAGCTGCTTTACAGCAGAATGTGAATTTGATACTATTGTGAAGCTGCTGTGAAACAATCTATACTATATAAAGCACTTTAGAAATAAAGTTGACTTCCTGACTTGGCTTTTATGCATATTTACTGTATGTGTGTTTGTGTGTGTGTATGTATGTATGTACTGTACATACACACACACACACACATATATACACACATAGTACATAGTTAAATGATTAGAACACTAGCATTCTCACCAGCTAAAAATGGTTTTAAGTCAGTTATTTCTATCTTTTGCTGTAGTGTCAGCAGGAAACATCAGTTTACATTTGTGTGTGTGTGTATGTATGTATGTACTGTACATACACACACACACACACACATATATACACACATAGTACATAGTTAAATGATTAGAACACTAGCATTCTCACCAGCTAAAAATGGTTTTAAGTCAGTTATTTCTATCTTTTGCTGTAGTGTCAGCAGGAAACATCAGTTTACATTTCCAAACATTCATTTGGCCATTAATTGTAATAATCCAGTGAGATCTGATCTGATCATCATCCAGTTTGTCTGGAGTGACATGAAGAAACAGAACAAACTGAGACAGACTCAATCCAGAGGAACTGTGGAGAACAACGTCTCCGAGACGCTTCAAGAAACCTCCTGCAAAGCTACAGTACTGTTAAAAGTTTTAGGCACTTGTGTAAAAATGCTGTAAAA